TAAATTTTTTTGTACCACAAAAAACGTTTTCATTTATAATTGGCCAGACAATAATAATAATTAGTATTAGTCGACTAAATAGTCAACTAAAATAGTCGACTAAATAATCGACTAAAATAGTCGACTAAATAAACAACTAAAGTAGTTGACTATTTAGTCGACTAAATTAGTCGACTATTAGTTGTTTAAAAAAAAAGTTAGTTGACTAAAATAGTCGACTAATTAGTCGACTAAATTAGTCGACTATTTTAGTCGATTCCAACCTCTAGAATGAAAAACATTAGTATTTGAATATAAACACTGCTAAAATGGGATTCATTTTTGATTAATTCCTCTAATCGCAATTCTTTGAAAAATTACTTTAAAAAAATATATTACAATTTTAGATCACATGATAATAATAAAAAATCTAATCTGTTTTTTTATTTTTTTTTATTTTTTTACGATGAGGTAATGTCACATAATTTTAATTATACAAAATTTTGTAAATTACTACACTAATAAGTAACTTTTTTTAAAGATATTCTTATAAATGTTGTTTTTATATGGAGGTGTTTCCCAAGATATATGATTTTCTTATATAGTGGCTTTCATATATTCTTATTTTAATTAAATTTCAAGTTGAAATCAAACTGCTGATTTGTGAATGTGTCATAAAATTTGTAAGTATCAGTTGTATTCCCATTTGAAGAGTTTGGGTTTATTGGTTCCCTATTACCATTATGATAATGTATAAGATTTATTTTAGCTCTAGGATCAAACCTATCGTCGTCATCATCATCGTTGTCATTGTCATCATCATCGTCATTGTCATTATCATTGTCATCGTCATTGTCATTATCATTGTCATCATCTTCGTCTTCGTCATTGTCATTGTCATCATTGTCATCATCATCACCATCATCACTGTCGTCGTCATTATCATGTTGATGGATTGGACGAGAGTCTATTTCAATATTATTTTGGTCCAATTGTTTAGTCATAATTTTGTTGATTGAAAATGAAGGATTGTATAAAATACTGTCCGTGTTTTTTTCCAAATAATTTATGATTCAAGACTATATTTATAAGAAATCGAGTATATTTATTTTCCCATTATTTGTTTTTTTTTCAAAATCAATATTTAAATTTCCCTCATTTTGTAAATTGATCGACAATTCTCTCATTTATTTGCGGATCGTCAATTAACGTTTTAAATATTATTTGTTTTTAATTATAAAATGTTAATAAAAAATATAGTGCATAATTTGCGTAATTTGATGTTTGTTGCCGTATAAATTTGGGATCTCTAAACTGGTTAGGTTAAATGACGACAAAAATTTCATCCGTGTAACGGTTATAAATTTTCTTTTATTGTTGAAATTTACCTATTAAAAACATGTGTGTAATCAATAATTCATAATAACCAAATTCATTTTCTCTCTGTATAATAATAAGCATTACCCCACATTGTTTGAAAACAAATAATTAATTTTAAAAAATTTTTTTTTTGTAACAATTGAATGATTAACAATGTAGGTACCAATTAAGAGTGTTAAAAAATTAATTTGTATTTATTCAGGAAAAAAAAATGAAAACGTGCATTTAATATATTTAAAAAAATGTGATAATAGCTTTTATGAATAGTATTTATTACTGAGATCAAAAGGATTTTTTCAAATGTCTTGAATATCAATGTATTAAGGAAATCATAATCATAATCCTATTTTAATAGTATTTTGAAAATATCCATATTCTGAACAATATGGTTTTTCAATTCTTTGAAAAACTACTTTAAAAATATTCATTACGTGAATTTTTGATCATATGATAATAATAATAAATTTCTTTTATTATAGATTAACAGATTAATAAAAAAACCAAATTTGGTCAAAGGAAGACGGACTCCTAAGACCAGTTTTCATTTAATGAATAACAATTATATTATTATTTTCTAACATCATATTCTATTTTATAAACGAACGCGAACAAAAAAAAAATAAATATATAAATCCTATAAAAAATTGTTTGGATTCTAAAAAATTTTTTTTTATTTTTAAATCTTTTTTATCAATACAAAATGAGTGATCAAAGAAATAAATTTTTTCCCTCAAACTATCCACAAACAAATTCTCCATTTTCTTCTAATAATAATATTATTAGTAGCAATGTTAATAGTCATAATATTATTAGTAGTAATGATAATGGAAACAATATCATTAGTAGTAATAGCAATGGTAACATTTATGACACACATGGCACTTTTGATGTAAATTCTCAAACTGGCAATATAAATGTTATTAATAATCCTCATGAATTGCTTTTACTTCAAGCACAATCTCAAATTTCGCACGGAACACAATTGCAATCTTTATTTAGAGAACCTTTAATTTTTGGACCATTTCCTCAGGTTACACGACCAACAGAACTTACAAATCTTCTTCAACAATTTAATTCAAGACTTTCCAACAACAACAACAACAACAACAACAACAACAACAACAACAATGCATTAATTAATCTCGTGATTCTAAAGTTAAATGATATTAATAATGATCTTTCAAAGAGTTTGAATGATTTTGGTGTTATAGTTAGAGGTATTAATGATGCAATTCAGAATATAAATTTTCTTAGTAAAAATCTCTTGGATATTTTGAATAATGATAGTAATAATGATAATAATAATAATAATAATAATAATAATAATTAATCATTTATATTTATTATATTTATTTATTATATTTATTTATTTTTCTGTGTAAAAATATGTTTTGTACAGCCGACACCCATATAGTCACACTTATCGCAGGCGAACTTTGCACTTTTTCACTACTAATTAACAAATTTTTTTTTTTCAACTAAAATTTATTATTTTTTTTTATATCCTAAATAGTTAAAATTCAAAATTTATGATTTAAAAAAGTTTTTGGGTTTTTTTGAAAATTTAATGTAAATTTTTTTTTTAAATAAAAATACTTTTTTAACCTCACATCTTGTGATAATCTTTAATTATTGGTTCTACCCTACATTTCTTTTCATTACTATCACAAGCATAATGTCATTATGGCCAGATGATTTAAAACTAAGTTTAAAAATTTCTAAAAGGCAAGAAATAAGAAAATCAAAAAATTCTGGTGCACAAACCAAAATTAAAATATTACTTGAGGTAATGTGATTTCGAAAAGTTCGCAGGTAAATTTGCCTGCAAGAATATCGAAGGGATAATATATATTAATAAACCATTTTCCAGATTCTCATGTATAATGCAACATTATGTATTCTTTGAGTTGGCCGTAATATATAAAAGGGCAGAATAACCTTGATGTAAATTCACTTCAAATTGTTTGAGTTTTGTTTTTTAAAATAATCAATTAATTAAAGTTAGAATTAAGATTGAATATACTCATCCTAATCACAAATTACCTTTCATTTTGCAAGAAAAAACTACATATATGTGTGTGTATGTTTCTAAAAATATTTGGTTGCATTTTGGAAAGTTGGACAGAATGACTGGGTTTCAACAAAAACATGCTAAATGTAAATGAATTCCATGAAGGTGTAAAGTACATTTTAAAAAATCAATCATTATTGATAATTTTATTGTAATTTTTATTGTAATTATTAAAAATAAATATTTTTGTTATTAATCCTGGGATTTGTGTCCACAAATTGCCTGAAAATAGTATGATGTTATCAATTTTTATAATAAAGTATTATTTCTACAATATAAAGTGCTTGCTGTAATATTTGACAATTTGTTGGTAGGTCATCAGCTTATAAAGTTGATTTATTAATGTTAACTTGGTGGAAAGGGAACTTTGGAGCTGTAACACCTGAATTAACATAAGAATTTTTTAATTCCTAGATTGTCTGCGCTCTCCTACATACATGATTGAAAAATGGCCGTTCTTTCAGATTAGTTTATATATATTTCAACAACAAATTTAAAAATCCAAAAATTTGAATAAGAAAATTGCAGATGTAAATGAAGATGAATATGATAATGTTATTGAATTCGGTGAACATGATGATTTTGAGGAGAATAGTAGCAATACTATTATATGATTTTGTGTACACAAGAAGACATTCAGTTATATAATCATCATTATTGAAATGTTTAAAAATAGAAAATATCATCACAGGAAGCATTAATGATTTTAATAAAATTTGAATAATAATTATATCAATAATAATAATAATAGATTATAATAAGAAAGAAATATTTTTGTTTTTACGTTGATTAACCAGCGTAATGCTAATAACGGGTAGTAAGGTTTTTGCTTTGGTTTTTGTTAAAGATCTTTTGTTTAACCTTTTGTAAACGGGTTTAATTGTTTAAGTGTAAGTATAAGATGTTAATACTGATTGGCAAAATATTAAGCGTTAACAGTTATTAAGTTATTAACCAAAGTCATTATCACATTTTGTTGTATTGTGTTAAAGTGATTGTTGTAAACTAAGTAAAATAGAGATTCTATAGGATCCCTTGTTGCTTCATAGGACCATTTTTATTATAATTGTATCTTACAGATTTGCCGGAGTTTTCTAGAAGCCAGTAGGATAATTTCAATAAATTTGTAAAATAAATTAATTGACGAACGAACATTGTATATAAAAGCTTGCAATTAATTGACAAGTGTGGTTAAAAATTTAATTCAAAACTCTGCTATAAAACGTAAAATAATTGAGGCTACACTCGCACTAGCCAGTCGAAACAATGTTTAGAACTTGCTTTTATGGTATCTCCACGACACAAAAGGATCTTTATTCTAATTTATTTCTTCTTTTAGGACGTACTCTTGATACTAAAGGTTAAAAATGGATTAATAATAATAACTAGAGAATTCAACATGTTAACAACTTCAATACATGTAATCTTTGATTCTTCCATTATATCACCTTCACTATTATTCTTTCTTTTGCTGCTTCCAAAATGGCATCATCTGTTGGAATGTTCATGATTTCATCTTCATCATGTTGATTGAGAAGTTGCTATACATCCATTAGATTCGATATCCAAGATTGTGAATCTGGTGAGCAAAATCACAGACATCCTGGACCTTTTTCATTTTGAGACTGCATTTCACAATGAAGAAAACAATGATAAATAGTTTTAGACTTAACATCATTTTTATATTCAGAAATAAGAAGGCGGCTGTAAAATATCAGTTTCCTCTTGTTTGCTTCAACATCCTGAAGTATCAATTGATGGAATTACCGTCAATAATAAACTTTAAGATTTCTGGTAATAATAATATTAGCATCACAAGACTGATGTGTAGAAAGTAGATTGTGGTATTGTGGTATTGTGCAGTTCATATCCTTCTTTTACGTGAGCTGGACAGTTGTCAACCTTGCATGTGCTGATCAAACTATTTAACAAATTATTCAATAAGCATTGTTCTGATCATCCATGCCTTCAAATTCTATCAATATTGAATTCCTAAAATCTGCATATTGAAGCATCTACGGCTTTTATGCTTCCCAATTACCAAGCATCGCAGCTTATTAGATTCATCACCAATGGTACACTCAATGTGTTTATTTAACAATGCAACTTCAATATTAAGGAATCTTAATGTGGGAAAACATTTGTACTCTTTATTGACGGTGAAATCCATTATTCACAACAAATGTTAATTTTTTGAAAATAAATGTCCAGCAGTCCACTCCCATATTAATCAATATATTGATAAATTTTAAATTATATTTTGCAGTTTGATCTAAATTTCTCATTTGTTGCCGATCACGTTAATATTAATATTAATTTGTGTACACGTTGATCAATGATAGAGATTTTTCATATTACAATTATTACAATTTCAACTTTCAACTAAAAATTTCATGGTATTTTTTATTGTTATTTTTTTTTATTTAAAGAGTGAGGTTTAGAATGAGATATAGTTAAAAGAGAAACGTGAACTTTTTTAAAAAACTAATCTTTGACTCTTTAACTCTACAATCTAAAAAAAAAATTTTTTTAAAGGCGAAATTCTAGTTTTTTCTCTCTCAACAAAGAATCTAAGACAAAAAAAGGAGCTAGGCCTTCATATTTAATTTATCAAAAGTATTATTTGGTATGAGTCCGAAAAAGATATGTTATTTGTTAATAACCAGAAATATTTTTTGTATTAATTAATACCTTATTTTTTTTTTTTATAAAATAGTCTAAGCATCATACAATCATTCTCTTTTTCATTATGTGCAAAGGCTAATCTGACTTGTTCCCCCGACGATACAATATGTGTTCAAATTTCAGGGGGAGAGCGCGGCCCTGAAGTTTGCTAAAACTGCATTATTGTCAACAGAGGTTGTTAAAGCCTTGCACTTGTCTGAAGCCTCCTAAGATGTGGGATCCTTCTATCTGTGGAAAATTCTGCAGTGTGAAGGGGTGCAATAGCGCCTAACTGCATGTTTGTGAAATGAAAATTTTATAAATCTGACACCTGTGGTATCAATATCAGATTTATTTTGCATAATATTAAATAATTACAAGAAATGTCAAGAGGTAAAAACAACACAACCGTTGAAGGAGGGAAAACTGCTCTTAAGCAGCTTGGAAATACCAAGAAACGGATTGGTTATTGGAGATTGACATATATTGAAAATTATGTCAAGCTCAAATATTACAATATTTCTATTTTTCTTTATGTGCATAAGGCTAATCTGACTTGTTCCCCCGACGATACAATATGTGTTCAAATTTCAGGGGGAGAGCGCGGCCCTGAAGTTTGCTAAAACTGCATTATTGTCAACAGAGGTTGTTAAAGCCTTGCACTTGTCTGAAGCCTCCTAAGATGTGGGATCCTTCTATCTGTGGAAAATTCTGCAGTGTGAAGGGGTGCAATAGCGCCTAACTGCATGTTAGTGGAAGGAAAATTTTATAAATCTGACACCTATGTTATCAATATCAGATTTATTAGTTTATTTTTTTTAATTTTAAAAATGAACTCTACGGCTTGTAGGAGGAAAGAATAAGTTTGGGTGGCAATGGGCTATATATAAATTTAGCCAGAACATGATATTAATATATAAATACGACTTGTGATTCTTAAAAGTTTCATTTTTGCATGGTCTTTGTATTATTATTACTTTGGCAATGCAATTATTTGTTATACCATCAAATGCACTACATAATGAATATTGCAATAAATATGATACAACAGTAGAGCAAGGTATTCATTCATTCAGATTAAAGGAAAGGATTAAATCACAACAAAAAGATAAGTAACGTTTTATTTATTTTGATTTGACTCAGAAAAAAATACATATTATATTGTCTAGAATATAAGCACCATCACTTACCAGTATAAATTTTATAGTAAACGATGCCCAGCCAATTTTAAACAATGTTGATTTGCATATTGTCACCAATTATTATTTGGAAGAGCGTGTTAATTGATGATAACAACAATACAAATTTATGATTATGTGGATCAGAATGAGTTGGCTATTTTAATGAATTAGTTTTATTAGTGAATAATTTTGGTTTATTGATTTAAGAAAACGTTTTATTTAGTCGAAAATAATTTATTAACTTATTTCTGGGTTAATTTTTATTATAAAACTTTATTACAAAGTTATTACAAAGTTGCTTTGCAAGTATGTTGAATTTGAGCTTATATACAATTAAATTAATTAGTAACAACTTGATTCCAATCTAACCTTCTAACCGCGATATCGCACTTTAATTGCGACGTAACATTCTAACCGCAACACTAATTTCGACGTTATACGAATAAAAATAAAAAAGTAATACAAATAAAAATAAAATAGTAAATCTAAATAAAGAAATGAAATAAGAAATAAAGTAAAAATAGAAATAAAAGATTTGATCACCATGCGCATGATGTCAAAGGTCCATCTACTCAACAAATGCACCATGTACCTTACAAATATCTCAAACCAAATTTACCTTGCTTGCAAAAAATTACCGTCATCAACATACCAACTTAGAATAAATATATCAGATATGAGGCTGTGTCTTAAAAAATTAAATTATAATATGACTTTTTTTAAATATAATTTGGTATTTTCACAAAAAAAATGTAGGATGTCAGCCAATAAAACATTCCTGGTCAGCCAAGAATCAAGAAAAATAGCAATCAAAATTACCATCATAATCAAATAATTCTCCATCATTCTTATTGCCTAATTGTTCATCACTAGTATCATTGCTCCCATTATTGTTATTATTATTATTACTGTAATAAAGATGGCACCTCAATTAATTGCAGCATATAAAAATTGAATGTGGTTGCAGCATGTGAAAATTGAATTGTGGGTTCCTATCTTTAACTATTAACTATATGTTACAAATCAACTGTTACCATTCATCATGAAAATAAATCTTACATAAACCTACGTAGGGTTCAGAATTGGCCAGCATTATGTCGATATTTTGGTAATTCTGTTAACATTTCCGCATAATGCTGGTCAGTTTTAAACCCTGCGTAGGTTTTATTTTCCTGACGTTACTATTGCTACCACTATTAATATTAATATTATAATTACTATTATCCAATAATACATTATTATCACTAACTGATGGTTTGCTATCATTGATTAATGGATCATTATTACTGTTAATTCCTTTTATATTATATCGGTCGCGTTTACTTCATCGACAATCATTTCGTCGAAAGTTTGTTTCATCGAATGTTCGTTTCGTCGAATGTTCATTTCGTCGAAAGTTCGTTTCGTCGAAAATTATTCACCCTCGAGCTAGAGACCGAAAGAGTTAGATGTGAGGAGTGTAGGAAGTTGGTTAAGAAATTAGATGTGGAAAGCGAAGTGTGAGGAGAAATTTGTTTAATGAAGTTTTTTTTTTGTGACGAAATAATTTTCGATGAAACAAACTTTCGACGAAATGGGTGACGAAATGACTGTCGACGAAATGATTGTCGACGAAATGAATCAGACCCCCTTTTATTCGTTCGTTCGAGTTATCCGTTTTAACCATTTATTCGCTTATTCGTTTTATATATTTGTTTTATTCATTTATTTGAGTAAAAATTTATTTGAATAAAGTTTCAAATACTCAAATTCATAATGAATACGATAAATGATAAAGTCATGTGATTTATAATCTTGTGACACCAGAGTATCATTGCTATTTGGGATTGAAGATTTATGTGACGCAAGCATTTGATAATAATTAGAGATGTGCCATTCATGGTAACCCTGTTTTTTTTCGCGAATAGTACGCATAGTGTGTACATGTCATAGGGAAGAAGTATTATAAATCCGCGCATATTTATTAATAAATGTCTGTAAAAACATGCATGGTAACACACTATGCGCGGTATATCACTAACAATAATATCATTGTTAAAAACAAATAAAAATATTCCTAGTACTTTTCACAAGATTAATCGCCGATTATCTGATTATTCACCCGTTGAATATTATAATAATATAAAAAGAGAAGAGATATTTCTACATGTACATATGATTAATCTCCGATTATTCGATTATCCAATCGTTGAATATTTTAATAATCGTCAATGAAATTCCTAATCGGCAAATTTTATTGACTAGTATATTTTTATTCATTCAATTTTGAATAAGTTCTATTACCAATATGTTCCTCAATTAAATGTGAGATAAAGCGTTTATTTAGTAAGCATTCCATCTGCGCATATTTTTCATTTTTTATAATGTATTAGTATATCCTAAATCTAAAACCACCTTTGAATTCTCATCAAAGATGTAAAAGTAAGTGTAGAAGAAAACAAAATTACAAAGACAAAAAGATATATGGTCACATGAAATAAATGAAAAATTATATTTAATAAAAATAATTCAACAAATGCAATTTTTCACATGCATATTATATCTAATTGTACTTGATTATCTGTTTATTATTTTATGTATTGCTCATCTGATACAAATATTTATTTAGAATAATTAATATTAATATATTTATGTAAAAAGTCATGTTATTTGTACAACTTCAAAGAGTGGATCATTTTTTAATTGATTGTCAAACAGTTGATCATCATATGATTTTATTTACAAATTGCACGAAAATATTTTTTTCGCAAGTGGATGAAAAGATGGCTCACAATATTAAAGATAAAGTTTAGCAATAATGTTACCATAATTTTCATTCAAATAAATAAGCATTGTTTAAACTATTTTGATAGTTAGTTTTAAATTAAGTAAATAAGTAAAATGATCCATTGTATTTAATATGAGTATATTACCTATTCATTCGTTGACAAATTTTAAAATTCGAATTTTTGATTTGATATAATTTAAAGTATTTTTGGGAAAACCAATTGAAAACTTGAAATAGCCCAATACTTTCTTAATATTCTGGATTTTTTATTAATCAATTTTAAAATAATACGTAATTTAGCTTCTAGGTTTATATTATTTACTATTAAAAAAAAAAAAAATTAAACCCTAATAATATGTCTAGTTTATTGTCAAGTTTAAATAGATTACAAAATGTCTCGGCATAACACTAACCCTAAAAAATTTATTTTTACCCCACACTGTTTTTCCTTCAAAACAAATAATTAGTTTTAAAAAAATTTTTTTGTAACAATCAAATTAATTAAAAATGTACATTTCAAATACTTTTACCAATTAAGGCAACATGACGTTAAAAAAT